GGGGTGGGGGGGGGGGGGGGGGGGGGGGGGGGGGGGGGGGGGGGGGAGGGAGGTCGGCTTTGCATCCGCGGACCCCCCTTCAAATAATCCAAGATCCGCCCCTGCACCTATGCATTATTAAGAGGAAGGGAGTTTCAAGAGTTGATTTGCCTTGAGACGAAATAACAAGAGTCAAATACCATATTTCCTTCCACAACATTTGGGTCATTGATGTACGTGTCATCACATCTAGAGACCATGAATAACATTTTACATAGGAGATGTTTGCTCAAAATTGGCAAGTCGGCAAGACACTACAAGCCTGTATTTTTTTTCCCGCAGCAACCTTTATGTGGTTTGGCATTTTGTTATGATAGACATACAGTGTCATTTTTTATTTATTTATTTTTTTTTGGGGGGGGGGGCTGCCCCCAATCCCCTTCAATTTCTGAAAAAATCACACCAATGGTCCCCTCTTGAAATTATAATTTTGACTAGCTGATTTATAGTTCTAAACTTTACCAATGGCACCGTTTCCCCTCTAAAATACCAATTCGGGGCCCTTCAGCGGGCCACGGACCCCACGCCAAGGGGGGTGGGGGGTCGGCTTCGCATCCGCGGACCCCTCCCCCCCCCCCTTATAATCCTGGATCCGCCTCTGACATATGTATGACGGTTTAACATATAAAGCCAATGGGCCGTGAAGTTGAAAGAGGGCATTGAAGTTGGCAAAACTTTCAGTTGGAATAGACATCCACTTTTTGTCCAATTTAAATTGGAAATATCGTAAATTGAAAGGTGATGAAAACCCCGGATATCGATTTTTACAAAAAAATATTATTTTAAAAATTTGACCAGTTTACATAAACCTTCAGAACGTTATAACTGATGCAATGTCCAAGTTGATTAAGAACTTTTATCAATTGATTGATTCAGAAAATTCTTATCCATATCACGAAATTTTCACATTCCTCTCACTTCTTCTTGTTCTCATAGCACCAGTTTAAATTTTTTTAATTTACAATCTTCAAGAAATATTTGTTTTACTTGCCTGCTTTTTTGGGGGATTACCAAATTATTCCAAAATCTTAACATGTTTAACCATCTACCAAATTTCCTTGGGACCCAGGTGCTTTACCTGTGAGACTAAATTTTGTAGCAAAGCGATGAATCCCTGCGTAATACCTATATACTTAACACATCACTTTCTCACATTCATTGTCCAAGAATCCCCAAACTCCAGATCCATACACTAATATTGGGGTTAAATAATTTCTGATGTAGGATCTGATTAACATTTTTAGTGTTTGCTATAATTAAACCAAATGCCCTTGTAGTATAGTCTGAAACTGGCTGACATAATCTAAGAATACTCCTTAATGAACCCAATTTATTTATAACTGTCAATCGATTCTACAACATTCCACCAGCCCCCCCCCCCC